GAAATTTAGCAGTAACATCACAAGGATGTACTGCAACTCTTCGTTTTTTAAAGTTCATCCACATATTTCTTCCAAGAGAAAGAGAGAGACAAGGAGAGAGAGACATATACACCAACAGGTCTTTATTTCATGATCCACCCCCACCCTCAGCCAGCCAGGACCACGGGGGAATGTGTGCACTCAGTGCATTTAGGGAGAACTCGGAATGTGGACCTGGGACCTTCCCATGTGGCCACAGCATCATGGAGTATTACATTACCACTGTCCTACGAGAGCTGGCCTATATTGCAACTTTAAAAAAATAATTTTTACTTGTTATTATTTTTCAGTTTGCTATAGGGCATATGCTCTCACCAGACAGAGACAGAGAGAGAGAGAGAAGAAAAGTGACGTGGGAAGTTGCCAGGTCTAGGATTTGAACCGTGGTCAGCCATATGGGAGTCTAGCGCCTTAACCACTACACCAGCTGCCAGCCCCTGTATTAAAACTCTTAACATACCCTTCCCTAAAGGGACCAGTGGTTGTCTATGGATAAACCTGCACTGAAGAAAAGAAAATGCCAGTCCTTTGGGATCACTGGCTGCTGGCTACTTACACTAATTCCTTGAGATCCAGAATGCCACAGTAGTTCACGGGTAAGCACGGAGCATCCATGTGGGTGCATAGCCATTGTGTGACTATGGCTAGCTCAGTCACTTAAGTGGACAGGTCAGGCAGACAGTGTCACAGATTGACTTGGGATCTGAACCTGCACTTGACCACGTGGCTTCGAGCACTGCAGATCTGTATGCCTGCATCACCAAGCCCGGACCTTCTCCGACTCTTAAGTGTCCATTTGAAAGTGATATACCTAGGCATTCACAGAACGTTCAGGTTGTTTTCCTGATCTTTTTAGAACATGGCCAATTATGATAGAAAAAACTAAGTGGAAACCCAAAGAGCTTTATTTCACTCTCCCACATGCAATCGAAAGAGCAAAGCCAAAGTTACGTCAATCCCTTGGAGACTAAGTATAATAACTGTTATCCCCAAAATTTGATGATGCTACCTGGTGATGAAAGGAGATGGATCTTGAAGAATGAGAGATGATTATAAACTCAATCAAGCAGGGCGCCCAAACGCAGGTGCTTTTCCAGGTGTGGTCTACTTGGAGGAGCAAATCAACAGAGGCCCTGTATATAGCTATTGCTTGGGCAAATGTTCTTTCTACCTAAAACCCAGCATATATTATCTTAGCTCAGAAATCTGACTGTGGCTTAGCTTGGTGCCTCTGGCACTGGGGCTCTCAGGAGGCTACAATCAAGATATTGGCTGGGCTGTGGTTACATCCAGGTTCATCTGGGGAAAAGCTATTCCAAGTTCACGCCCATGATGGTTGTCATGCCTCAGGTCCTCACTTCCTGTTGGTGAGAGACATCAGTTCTTCAACATACTGGTCCCTGAATAAAGCAGCTCACAACGTGGGAGCTGGCTCTCCTCACAATGGATAAGAGAGTGATGGGGATGCCAAAATAGAAGCCATAGTCCTTTTGGGTCCTAATCTCCAAAGTGACATCCCATCACTTTGGTTGTATTCTGTTGGAATCAAGCTCCCAGGTCCAGCCCATACTCAAGCTAATATCTACTGAGTACTTACCATAAACCAGGCCCAGACCCTTGGCTTCCTTCTGGTCTAAGCCCCAGACCAGTCTGAGTTCAGAGACCTCGCTCAGCATTTCTGAGCTCCCATGGTGAGCAGACTGCCTGACCATCCACTTAAGTAGCTGAGTCAGCCACAGCCACACAACAGCTTTGGCCCCATGCTGGACGCACAGCATGTCTGACAAGTTTGCAGCTTCCCTGAACCCTAGGAAAGAGACATGTGCAATCTCCAAAGCCATTAGGAGGTTGCACACTGCAACCCCTCGCCTCTACTCTCAGGAAAGGACCTTACTTCATCCTAAATCTAACCTCTATTATGGTTTATGCTCTCTGTCCTCCAGTTTCTTTAACTTCTGATACTCAAAACCTAGCATTCTCACTGAAGATACAAACTAATAAAACTTTTTTTTTTGGAAAGGTTTTTGCTATAGGGCACGTGCGCTTGCCAGACAGACAGAGAGAGACAGAGAGACAGAAAGCGAGAAATCACCCCCCCTAGGGGGGATGGCCACACCTCAATCCCTTCTCCTTCATTCTCCTCTCGGGATCTTGGGCACTCACGCACACGCACCTGGCGTGAGTTTAAGCCACCAGGTCCGGGACTCGAACCATGGTCGGCCACATGGGAGTTCAGTGACATAGCCATTACGCTAACTGCTGGTCCCACAAATAAAACTTTTCACCTAAGCAGCAGCTCCTATCAAAATTGTTTTTCAACCCTACTGGGCATTAAAAAAAATAATAATTTTTAAAAAGCCCCTAATTTAACTTTCATGTTCAAGATCTTAGTTATCCTTCCCAGAGACAAGTGTATTAAGATTATCACTGACGTCTCAATGAAGGAAAAAAGAAAATGGGACATTGAAGCCCAAGGAGGATGGGACCTCAGTTAACATCTTAAAATATGGTCCACTACAACATAAGCATTTTCCCAAATGTTTGTGGGGATCATTTCAACAGTCACCCAGTATTCTAACCAACGAATGCGATTCACCTGTTTTAGTTTGTTCGGATGCTATAACAAAACTAGCATAGATGAGGTCGTTTAGACAACCAACGTTTGTTTCTCATAGCTGGAGGCTGGAAAGTCCAAGTTCAAGATACTGGAAGATTCAGCATCTGGTGGATGGCCCTGTTTGCTGCAACCTCAAGAGGAGAGAGGGGTAAGGACACTCTCTGGGGTCTCTGTCATAAGGACACTAATTGCATCCAGGAGAGCTCTATCTCCACGACCTAAACACTCTGCAAAGGCTCCATCTCTTACTCATTACACTGGGGGACTAGGGCTTCACCATACGCTTTTGGGGGAAAACACTAAATTCAGCCTGTAACATTACCATTAATACATCTTGGGACCAGTAGTTGGCATAATGGCCATGTTGCTGGACTCCCATGTAGTCGACTGCAGTTTGAGTCCCAGACCCGGTGGCTTAAACTCACGTAGGGCGCTTGTGTGCGTGCTCAAGATCCCGAGAGGAGAATGGAGGTGAAGGGATTGCGTTGTGGCCATCCCCCCTGGGGCGTGATTTATCGCTTTCTGTCTCTCTGTCTCTCTCTGTCTGGCGAGCACACGTGCCCTATAGCAGAAGACCACCACCCCTAAAGAAAAAAAAAAAAAAAAAAAAAAACTCTAAAAAAAATACATCTTAATGTGTATTTTATCTTTATATTACTGTTTAACCCACTACAGTTATTTTAAGACATGTTTTTCCCCTCAATTTATGTTGTGTAACTTGTATCACAGTATTTACATCATGCTAAGGATTTCATCACATATTCCAAGTTGCTTCCCAAATAGTTGCAACAGTTTGATTCTAGAATGCTGCTATATTTGGATTAAGTACTGGTGGAAAACGCTGAAGACTCCTGCACCAACTTTAACTGTCACCAACTTCATAACCTCTCATTCATTCTTCAACTCACTGTGCTCTGGCTTCCGCCCCAACTACTACACTGAAATTGCCCCAGCCAAGGAGTTGGCTGGTAATTCTAATTCTCTTGTTTGCCTTCTCAGAAGCATCTGACAGTCTTGAACTTCTCCTTTTCCATGAATCTTCTGGTCTCCTCTGCAAGCCCACCTTCCTCTCCAGCCTTCTGGTGCTTCCCAGGGATCTGGCCTAGGCTCAGTGACCTTACCATTCTAAAAACTCTCCTCAGGTAAGCTCAGACAGCACTGCCCTGGCCGAATCTGCAGCTGGAGTCACCCCAAAAGTGGCACTGGGGGAATCCCATAAGGGAGTACCCCCAAACAGTCCTGAGATGAGGTAGGTTTGGAAAAGATCTTTCTAAAGGGAAGATGAATGGAACTCCAAGGTGATGAGTTCAATGTCTTTATTAGGGAACTTAGAATGAACTGCAGCATCTTCACAACACAGAAAGATGTTCTACCTATGTGTGTGTGTGTTCAAGACCGGGTCAGGAAATGGAGTTCACATGAGGGTTTGAGAAATCTAGCATAGGGCCAGGATCAATTCCTTTCAGTGTTTTAGGAAGAAACCTAGAACCTTTATCAAGATCCCAGCTTGAATTCAAGCCTATAGGGAAAATCATGCAACTGGCCGGGTCACAGAATGTTCAAGGCACTCTGCATTTCAGCCCTGACTCAGAAAGCTAGAGGGGGAGCTGGAGAACCGTACAGACATCTCTATTTCCCGATGAAGACGCCTCTCAAACTGCCATCTGCATCTCGGCTCTTTCCCGGGCCTCACTGGACAGGCAGGGGCAGTGCTATTCGTCCATGCTTTTAAACACATACATAAATTCTTGGGGCCACTGCCACTACCCATCAGCTTCAGATCACCCTCGGGCTATTCCTTTATAGCACACCCTCCTCCATCCCAAACCGTGTCTTTTCAAAAATGTCAAAGAAATGGAACACAATCTTTTGCTAAGCAAAACCACCCAGCCCTTTAAGGGGGTATTAATGCACCTGCCTACCTCTCCTCCTGCACTGCCAACATCTGACCCTTTCTTCCGCATGCGACTAGCTCCAACTATTTCCAGTTTTGGGGGCGCTCCTGACTTTCCTCAGTTTAGACAGCCTCCCACTCTTCGTGAGGGGAGGGCTTGCCCTGAGCTCACAGTGCCTGGGGCTTCCTCCCTCTTAGCCGTTCACGCTACAGTCACTGTCAGTCTTTGCCTTTTCAGACAGCTCCTTCCGTGCAGGGGTCGCCCTTCAGCCATGTTCATAGCCTCAATGCAGCACGGAACAAGTCTCTGGGCGCCGGCGCTGGTCCGGACGCCGAAAGACTCCTAGCCGGTGCCCCGCGTAGCGCCTGGCGCAGGGGGGGTGCGCGCGCG